CAGTGCTGGGCATAAGACATGTCAGAACTGACCCTCAGACCAGGGTGAATCTCCCAGTAACTCCTGAAAAAAAACCCAGGAAGCACCCATGCTTCTCCTAGGTATGGGTGTTAAGGAGGCCTACCTTTCCCTGTGGTTTAATCTGTGGGGTGCAGTTCCTCCTAATTAGCTTGCTGTGGAATGTTAAGTTTGCTTGAAATGTCTTCATAACTCTACAATCTCTCTTTAACATCTCTTGGCCTTTAAAAGTCAGACACTGGGCAGAATGGCTGCAGCTCCTTCCCCTGGTCTGGAGCAGCTATAAATACTTTTAGGACTTGATTTAGGTATATGGAAAGGTCTGTATGAATATATAGCCTTCACTCATTGCAACTGCTGCCTTTATTGTTATTGCTGTTGTTGTGGATCACTTCAGCTTTTCTGCCACTTAAGTAATGTAAAAAACTCTCCAAAATAGGGATAATACTCTGAAATTTGCTTGCAAAACTGTGTTTTGGGAATTTATAAAAGTAAACTATGCCTTGGAGGGCTAACTAATCTATTGTATTGTTATTAACCCGAAAGAAACCAAAGATCATTCTGAGTTGTACTTTCTGTTTATAATTTACAGATCTATTTTACTTGTGCTTTATAATACAACTGCTATAACTGTGACAAAACAGGACTCTTCTGAGCATGAATAAACATGGAAGAAAACAGTTCTCAGGAAAAGAAAGCTACCAGGAAAAAAAAACAAAGAGTAAGCTCTATAGAGTCGTGGAAAGGCTCCAGTAAATGTTTAGGGTTTATTGTTGTAAGCCTTATGTTTGTCTTTTTTTTTTTTTTTTTCCTTAAAGAGAAATAGAATTTGGTGGTGAGAAAAAGAAATGCAGTTAAGTGTATGCAGCAGAGGAAATGAAAGTCTTCAGAACATTGTTCTGCACTGAGTTTGTACAAGGACCAACTGCAAGGGCCTGAGCTTAAATGCAACTCCCAGACCAGTGGAGTAAGAGGAGTGCATGGGCCCTAGATCAGGCTTCTTGCTGTTTTTCCCTCTCACAGCAGTCACACAAGGCAATGCAGCTCTGCTGGATGAGAGCTGATCTTGAGCATAGTTGGGTGAGGCTGCAGAGCCTGTTGGTGCACTTAACCTTGACAAAATGTAATCAAGATGGTGAAGTTTCTTTCTGGAAGCTTTTGAGTAATTCATCAAAACCTTGTACAGGTCTCCAGTGCTTCTATTTCTAAAGCTGTTCCGCATGGCTTTCCCTGCAGACTGCCTGGCAGTTTTTACTTTGATGGAAAACAGCTGTTGACTGTGAAACCACAAGACATGGTGGCAGCTTTCTTTAGCCCTAGGCCTGCCAAAAGGAAAGGTATCTTGCTGTATGAAGAGAAATACAGCTAAAATTGCCTATCTAAAATTGCTCATGTCTTCATCCCCTGCTAGGGAACAGTTCTACTCTTATTCGTCTGCAGCAGCCGATGCCATTTCAGAAGTAAATTATGATTATGGTAGAGGCTTAACTTGGTGTAAGAAAGTCTGAGTAGTAATGAAAGGCTTGCTTTCAGCAGGACAAGGCAGGCAGCGAGGTAGGTTGTGGATATTCCTCTTGGGTGGTTAAGTTTTGTTGCCCCTTTGATTACTGGTCTTCTGACTCCATAATAGAGGATAATGTCAGGAAATACACCCGGTTCTCATTCCAGCTCTGGAGAAAGTAAAGGCTTCTCAAAATGAGAATATAAAATCCTTAGAAACTCCTTTACTGTAAGTGGAAATGAGGTATATTCACCAAAGGACAGATTTCAATGAATGTGAATGTTGTGCTTTGTCTTCCAAACCCCTCAGAATGTGCTGTGGTAAAAAAAAAAAAAAAAGAAACCTGCTGCTTCCCAAGCCAGAGCAACATGAGTCTGTCAAGTCTCCTGCAACCTCCTGGGATCATCAGCCTCATTTAGGAAGTGCTGAATGATACAAACAAGTGCTTTATTTATAGGAGGCTCAGGTTAATTTTTATTCCAGTGCATCATCACTGCAAGGTACTTCAGAAGATGCAGCTTGATTTGCTATAAACTTAATCACACAGAACAGAAATTCCTAGAAAATGATGATTTGACTAGTCACACAAAACATGTCTCTTTCTGACCCCAGAGGTATTTGAAAAGGAGGGTCTGCAATGATGTTCCAGCTGTAGGACTAGGGTATTTCAGCTTAAACTATCTCTCGGGAATATGGAAGGTCTAACTAGCTGTATTGTACAATCTGAGCTGAGGTTTTGTGGTAAAACCTGTGGTCACAGTGCTGAGAGGGATAGGAGCTCTTAAAGTTTACTTGTTCTTGACAGCAGCTGGTCTAAACATCAGGCTTGAATTACACCCTGCTGTTGAAACAACAGCTCAGAGGGCCAGCTAAATTCACCAACTGTCTTTTGCTTTCCCTTTTACAGCTACAACTTTTTCAGAATGTTGTTGGCTTTAAAAAAATTATTTGGTGTAAAAAGAGCTGTTGATCTCCTCACCTTTATAATCTTTCGTCCGGTACACTGTTCTCTGATCCTGGCTAATACCTGTAATAAAAAACCAGTATCGGTAAACATCCGATGATAATTTTCGAAGGCTTTTTTGGTTATACACACCCATAGGTGACCTCCTCTGCTAACTGTGAGATCCTTTTCTAAACTGTCTCTAAAACCAGCCTTCCAGAGCCTCAGTGAGCTGGAGTTCATTGCCTCAGAGCTGGCATCTCTAACTCTTTGAAAGGTGCAGTGTGTTAATTACATCTACACAACAAAACTGTGAAATATCATCCTATTCTAGAGTTTCAATTTCTGCTGAAGAGCCTCAGCTTGGTTTAGTTCGATGTGATAAAGACATATTTAAAAACTTTTCCTCCTTGCAGTGTATCTTTTGAGGCATTTTTTCCTTCAGCAAAAAACACTTCAAATGTGTTGGAAACTTCACCTCCTGTTCTGTCTTCTATACCAAGGCTGCTTATAATTAAATGCATAATTAAATTTGTTACTGTTCATATGTACTTAAAAACAGGGCTGTTGGAGAACAGCTGTATATCCATCACTGTGCTCCCCCTTAGAAAGAAACAGCTCATTTTCTTTTAAAATGTATGTGTGCAGGTGTGGAGAGCACAGTGACACAGCTCTCTGAGCAGAACAACTGTTTGCCTGACTGAAGCTTTACTCTGCTCCTTGGCTTCCTGAAACCAAGAGTTCCCTCTACATAACTCCCTGCTGCATCCGGTCTGTTATGTGTATATATAGTTTAGAATCCAGACCTGCAGAGACAAAGCCATTAAGAGTTTTGCACACATAAAGCTACTGTAACATGTTTGTTAGCAATGTACAAACCCACAGTATTTCTCATGGAATGGGTCCCCTGTTCAGCATTTATTTCGCTCTGCTATTCTGCGTATTTCAGGCTTAAAATGTCTTAAACAAATACTACCATCTCAGATGTAGGATCTTGAGGTCTCCCTGACAGCACAAAGTATCTGTCAGTTTTTTTAATAGTCCGAGCCTATTTCATGATTTTTAAGCTCCGATATTTGCATGGTTTCAAAGCAACACCTCCTGGCAAGCCGTGGTATTGCTTGTGTGAGCAGATCAACCTTCCTCTTGGATTGATACACGACTAGACAGCAGAATGATCTGCAGCAGTAGTCCCTCGTTGCTTAGCGTGCAAATTGCAGTGTGAGCAACGTGGCTGTTATGATTTCTACTGGGGGAGAAATAAAAGTGGGGAGCATGCTTCAGAATTTTTTAAAAGAGCAAACGTAAGTGCTTAGTGCTGTTATACAGGTATTGCTGCCTTTTTTTTTTTTTTTTAATTTATACTACATGTGCTGGTTTACAGTGGATAATATTACCAAAAGCAATGCAGGACATTATCCAAAATGTCTGTGAAGCCAGTGAACAAAGGATGCTTGCTATCATCCCCATAAATGGTTATGTGGACATCAGTGTTCATCTTTTCTTTCTTACTTTACTCCCTTCTCTATCCCAGTATAAATCTGACTGGCAGAAAACATAAGTGTGAATGGAAATTCACAACAGTTTCACAAAGCTTCATTAATGTTCAAAGTATCACATTCCCTTAGTGCTAAAGCAGTATGGCTGTCCTTATGAACAAACAAAAATACTACAGAGGACATGGAAGCATCGTAGAAAGCCCCTAAAGAACAAGGTTACAGTCCCCTTATTCACAGTAACTACACATGGTTTAAGGTACTCTAAGTTTTAGCATCACCATGAGAAAAATCCAACACATGGGAGTAACTTGAGGAATCAGACATGAAGAACACCAGGCAGTTTATACGGAAGACTGAAATATGATTTAAATACCTGTATAATGAATAAAAGCAACACAAGTCATTGTAGAGGGCCATTTCTTGGAGACAGTAAAGTTGTCAATAACAATGATAAGAAAGATATATGTAATCAATAAATGTTTCTGCTCTCCATTCCAGATTGCTGGTTGATTTGCTGATGCACCACTAATTGAACTCTCTTCTGCCCAGTAGTAAAGTACGATGTTAAAAGCATCTGTCAAAGCCTGGCACCTTAATATCCAGTTTGACCATACAGGCTGCATCCTGATATTCTGAGAGAACTGGCTGGAAAATTATCTGACTATGGGGGGCTGCTATCATCAAGTCTTCGAAAAGAGGGGGAACCTCCGATTACAAGGCCACCATTTCGCGGCGTGCCTGCCCTCAGCCACCAGCCTGCTGCCCTGCTATCCGCGACAGCCCGCGGACGTAACCCGAGGGGCTGCTCCGGAGACCGAGGCGGGGGTCTGTGCCTTACCCGGGAGCCCCGATTCCCAGCAGCCTGCCTGGGGAGGGGGGAGAAGCGGGGATGCCCCCCAACAACACCCCGCTGGGCCCGAAGCCCCTCAGCCCGGCCCTCGCGCCCCGCCGCGCCTGCGCGCCGCCGCTCCCCGGAAGTGCGGGAGGCGGGGGCGAGGCCGGCGGCGGACGCGGTGCCCAGGTAACGGGGGAGCCGGGGCCGGGCCGGGGCCTTCCCGGCGGCCGGCGGGGGCGGGCGGGCGGCGCGCGGCCACGGCCCTGACGCCGGGGGTCACCGCTGAGGCGGGCGGCTCCGGAGGCCCCTCAGCCTCGGGGAGGGCAACGGCGCGTCCCGGGTGAGCGCTGCCGCCCGGCTCCGGTGCTCCCCGCGCGGGCCGAGCCGGGGTTTGTCCGCTCTTGTTCTGAGGCGCCGTAGCTTCCACGCTTGCGTATTTTTAAAGAAGAGTTTTTCGTGTTTAAAAAAAAAGAATCTAGGGTTGCATCCGTGGCACTAGCCGTTTCTCAGCCCTGTAGCGAAGCGAGGTGTTGGTAATGCCTATTTTGAAGCAGATGAGCAATCACAGGGTATAATCTCCTCTTCCCGGGGAGGAGGAAGCATTTAAGTAAATCTCCAGACAGAATCTGAAGCAGATCATTACTCAGTTAAGACTGTGGTATCTGTCATAATCCTGCTTGAGTAAAACGTACCAGAGGCTGTTGACAAAAAAGAAAACGAAAACAGCGCAAGCTTCTATGATTTTGTGCCCTGTTCAGTAAACAACAACAACAACAACAAAAAAGTAAGTATAGTAATTTCGATGCTTCTCTCGCCTGGCTTAAGTTTGGAAGAGTTCAAGGGATGGCTTTAGCTGATGCTTTGCTTGGACTAGCTTTGGTTTAGTCCGATAGAGTGAAACAGGTAACTGGTGAGAAGTGCAGCACTTGGAGCTGTGAATGAAGACAGCATCCTATCTGTTCCCAGGGCAGAATCCAGTACCTCTAGTTTATTTTTGCTAAATGGATGGAGATGGATATAAATAACACTTGCAAGCCCAGTGCAATGAAAATAAAACCTTCAGAGAAAATGGATAGGAACCTGTCTGCCTCCTTTCTCATTTAGGCTTTGTGGGAGTTGTGCTGCTGGGAACTACGAAGACCTTGTGACTTCATTTGAAGTTGTTCTTTGTTTATCTTCTAGTTTTACTAGTTCAGAGGTCTTAACATACTGTTTTCATTTTCAAAGCAGAGTGAAAAAATAAATACTTTCTGCATTTACTCTGAGATGAACTTGAGTCCCAATCTGATTGCTCCAAGGAGCCATTTGACATGTGAAAGCTTCTGTTTTTGTGGTAACTATATGTATCAGTAAGCGTGTCATTTCAAGAGAGCAGGTTTAAGATTGTGTTACTGCTGAAAAGGGTGGCCCGCTGCATCTCTTTTCTAGCCCTCCGATTGTCCATTTTCGTTGCCTCTCGTGTGCAGGTATGAATGGTTGTGTGGTCGGCTGGATTCCTCTGCCAAACCGACCAGGATTAGCACTGTGCAGAAAATGAACTCTTGGAGCCGACTGTGTGTCTGTACTAATGCTGGTGTGTGCAACGGGGAGAGGCAGGTCTGCCCCTCAGGCAGTGTCATGGAGCAAAATCAATTCAGCAGCTTGTGAAAGTGTTCCCCGAGGCTGCACTTTGGAGAGGTGAGCTGGCCTAGTGCTTGTGACTTGTTTTTTGGTGGGTTTTTTTGTTGGCTTGGTTTGGTTTTGTTTTGATATTTTTTTAGATGAAAGCTGTGAAATACTGTCTCCTTATTTCATGATGTAGCTAATATTCTCAGCCTCCTCCCCTCCACTCTTTCACAGTAGAAATACTTTTATTTTGTTTCCTGAAAAAGTTTACTTTTGCATAATCACCAAACTGGTACATGTGGAGAGTTGCAAATTTAGAACTGGAGAATGTTTAGGAATTTACCTGTGGTGATTATCACCAGTAACTCCACGGGTATCATTGCTAAAACAGGTGTTCAGTTTTAGAGAACAAAAGCAGTTTTTGCTAAATATAAAGGTGGGAGTACTAGCAGTAAATAAAGAAATCACATTTAAACACAGGAAACAGGTGGATAAAGAATTGAAATGGATGTAGTAAACAAAATACTACTCTCAGTTGCACAGTTTTGGTCTGAACTGTATTTTAATAGCTGTTTCTGACATCAGAAAGATCTCTGTCCAAAAATACGATAAAAGATGAAGCTATTAGCAACATTTTTATTTACATCAGAGGCATGCAAATAAATTTTTTGTGATCGAAACAGTTTGGTTAGCTTCACTAAGATTAAGAACAATTAGCCTGAAAAAAAAAATCAGTCTTTTGTTTATTGTATTAGTTTAAAATCTATGTTAGTACAGCAGCTAATAGATTTTATTCAGAGACTTACTGCAGAATAAATACTTGTCCTTGTAATGTCCAAGAGCTTTGTATAAGCCTTTGTGATATAGTTTAGTGGCTTAATTGTAGTGTTAAAATACTACTTCTTGAAGAAGTGCTGAATTTCCAGATCTTGGTGTGGTTTGGTTTTAAATGGTTTTTGCACTGTGGCTCCTGTACCTGTCTTGAACCTGTTCTGTGTTGTACACATCATACTATTTAGAACTCCTTTCCTGGAAACATTTAGGTCCCGTATTAAAATTGTTAAAGCTGAATCTAACTGCTGTCCTTGTAGAATTTATTGTTACAACTTCTCATAAAGAAGATAAATTGCCCTTTATTATTGTTTGTTAGAAAAGATAGTGTAAGATTTAATAAGTCACTATATCAAATACTCTAGGCGGGTCTCAACAGTGCAGTGCTTAAGTTAAATATTGACTTACTGTATAGGACTTTGGTCCTGTGTAACCCGTGCCGAAGCTGCAGCCAGGAGAAAGGTATCGTGGCAAAGATAATGACAACTTAAAATTACCCCCTACTAAATGGAAGGCAGTCTAGCTGTGAACAGAAGCAGCTAATGATCCCAGAGGAGGCTCAGCTTGGTGGTGCTTGTAGCTGATTGAATGTATAGTTAATTCCTCTGTCTTTCTTGTCTCTGTGAATGATAAAAATGAATTAAAATACCATTTAAAGAAAAGTGTGAAATGAGGATGTAAAAAATGTTAGTGTTTTTTTGCAGTGTAGTCTTTAACTACATAAGCAAGCATAAACGTTCCTGTAGTATGCTCATGCCCAATCTTTGCAGCCTGATGGGAGCAGGTAGTTAAGTTTGTACCTGGGGCTGGTGACAATCTTTTTCTGTCTCTTTTTAGATAGTGAAATGACTAGAATTTGGGGTCGCATCATTGTCACCAAATCTGGTGGTCCTTTCTAATCTCGCTCTTATTTATACTTAAACATACCTTTAGCTGGAAGAAATTCTGTATGCCTGTAGGCCAGCTGTCAGGAAGTCTTGTCTCTGGGACTATGCCTTCCAGTACAGAAGGCTCTTTGTGTTTTACATGCACATGATCCCTTGAAAAAATAAACATTTCTCATTCTTGCAAAGATTCACTTTCAAATCTGAACTAGCAGTAACTGGTTCATTACTTTCAGCTTGCTCCATGCCTCTTTCCTTGCTGTTGTGGGCTTTCTTACAAAGGTCTAAAATCTGGTTTCTAAACTTAATTGAAAATAGAATTCCTCTGGAACTGATGAGATAAATTTTGTTCCTCAATGGTGTGATGTGTGTCATTCTTGAATGCTTTGCTGTGGGGAGCTCAGCATGCAACACAGAGCTGTATATTAAAGAAAACTATTTTTTCTCAAGCTAAGAGGCTTTGTAGGTGGGAAGCATCTTAGACTTTCTTATGTGACAGTGGGGAATAGGAGTTTCAAGGAGGTTATCAGGAGGTTATTAGCAAAAAAAAAAAAAAGCCAGTCATCTAAGGTACTTTAGGTGAAGGAATTTCTGCAATAGTAAGATATTTTGAACTGTTTACACTTAGGTGGGGGAATAAGTTATTTTATATCTTTGATAAGTCTGGTTTACTGTCAGAATCTAGTTCTAGGAAGATTTTTCTCCTGTGTTATTGGAAGAAGGTTGGGTATGTCGTGTCAACTTAGTTTGTTGTAAACTGAGGTTTTGATGGAGGAAACATTTTGGTTTAGGTGTAGGATTGGGTTGATAAATCCTGTCTTTTTACTTACTCATCTTGAAACCATTTCCCTAACTGCGATGGGCATGAATTTCCCCTTGCTCACTCGCTGGATGTTCTAGAACGTGCATTTATAGAGCTGTCTGTGAAGAGCCATTGGAGAAGAAGGTGGTTCAGGTTTTTAGCATTCCTGTCAACTTTTCTACTTCATGAATTTAATGCTGTGATGTGATTCACTTTCAAGTGTGTTTCAAAGATGCGTGGAATTTTGGTGTGACTGAGGTCAAGATTTAGGCTGAACTCCAGATGGTGGTCAGAGGATTACTTTGAGAGCTAATTACGAGTGTTCTCTGTATAAGACTGAATAGTTACATCACAAAGATTTTTCTTTAATGATTCACTGGACAGTTTATTGGGGAAAACCCCCCCAACTTTTTAACATTCTGATGAAACGTGTTTTTGCCTTAGCCCATCTGGCTCATATTGAGCTGTACCCCAGCACTCACAGGCTAGTTTAATGGGTATTCACTCTGAAAGTCAGATCTGTGATACCTTTGAAGTCCGGCTATCTCTTTTTTCTTTGCACATATGGCCTGCATTTCTCCTTGCATCCACCTACTGAGTGAGTATACTGCTGTGGTGTGAGCTGTGAGCAAAGACCTCTGCCCAGGGTTTATTCAGGCATAGACTCCATTGAGTTAGTGAATGCTATTTCTGGAGTTCCTTGGGGAGAAGGTGTTCAGCCTGTCTAACCTCAGAACCAAGCAGAGGGCAGAGAGTGTAGCAATGTCAGCTTTCATGTCACTGTGCTGGATCAGCTGTTGATGGTGGTTCTGTCAGAGAGGATCCTGTCTTCTGCAAAGGGGTGTTAGCAGGCTCATCCAGCAGCAAGTTGGTGAGAAAACATTCATTTTACCTCGTTGGTTTGTTATTGGTGCTAGGAAACACCTCGTCTACATTTCAGAGACTTGTGGGTTATGGCTGCTCCTATCTTAGATTAACAGCTTTGCACTATAACTCATAAAGGTCAGTGCCCCCGACATCCGCAGTTCTGGTTCCCTGTGCCAGCCTGTCTTGTCAGGTTATCCCTCCCTATTTCTGCACTACTTGGGTATCCCTCAAAGAGCCATTTCCCACTGGTGGTGTGTATCTAGCGCTGCTGCTGGCTTCAGATCAGCTAAGGACCTGAATGTTGGTGGAGAAAACATAGTGCTTGGCTCTCATGCTGGTGGTGCCATGGACCTCAGCAGGTAGCTGATTAATTTCTGAGTTTTCCTTAACATCATTTGTTTTCTACCTGTTTTCCTTCTAAGAACCTGAATACTAAAGTTTATGATGTTGCTTGGTGGCATTAGGATACCCCTTTGGGAATGTTTTAAAGTTGCTTTAGTCATAGGGTTGCTGGGAGGACTTCTCTCTCTTTGTATCTTCCGAAGTGGAGGTTAGCATATCATACAGCTGACACAGAGTACTTTGACCTTCCTGGTTCACTTACAAATAGAGAACTCTTTTAATGGGTTATTTACATTCCTCAAGGTACAATGTCCTGTAGTTTCGATGTACTTGCCTGTCTGTAATGGGAGGAAATACCGGTGCTGGTTAACTGATTTGATGTGTTCTCGTGATTAGAGAGTCCTCCTGCAGCCTGGTGGGCAGAAGATTGAACAAAGGTGTGCTAGCTGTAAGCTACAAGTACTATTTTTGTATTCAATCTTCCATTCCCCTTTCCTGGGGGCAAGAGCTCTCTGGGGAGAGATAATCCGAACTCTTGATGGATGCTGTTTAGTGCAGTCAAGTTCAGGAGCTCAGTAGGCTGACCAGACAGGCAGTCAACTGAGGAGGTGTCTGTACAGAAGCCTGCTAGTCGTCAAAGCTACAGGGAAGCTTTGCAGAGTCATTTTTTTCCCATGTTTAGGCCCAGAATGTACAAGTTGGAACAGAAAGAGTCATCGTGAAGTCCCTAAGAGATGAAAGGATTTATATGGGCTTTCTTCTGTTTTGTCAGGGAACAGTCGACCTTGGGACCAGTGCCTCGAGCTTGCTGTTGAGCTGGCTGCTTTCCTGTGATTCTGAACACACTGAAGCAGCAAAGATCATTCCCCAGGCTCTGAGTCTGAGATTTGGTCAGTGCCCTCTTCAGAAACCAAATTACCTTGAATTCGATCTCTTTGCTTCATTTCCAACAGGAACTGTCGGTTCTCTTTCAGAAAATCTGAATCTAAGCCCAAGACTCCTGATTCGTGGAGTGGGAGGCTATTGTATGTCTGACCCCAAATTGGCTGCTACTCAAGGTTCTGCAACATGTGATGCCTTGTGTTGCATCAGATGATGGATGGGTGATTTTGTTGATTCCCTCCTGGCCAAGGCATCATTAGACCTTCTGACTTTTTTTTTGTGGGAGGCCCATATGGTTGCAGAACAGAAAGAAAACCCTGACTTCAGATCTGTGCTGCACTTCATGGGCTGGGCGCTGGGTAGTTCTTGACACTTAAAACAGTTCACTCTTCTCCAGTACAAGACTGTCATCAATACCATGAAGAATGGTAGCAAAGAACCTGCTCAGCCAAATGGCCAGTTTCCCCTCTCTGTGCTCAGTGAGTTCAGTGTTTTCTTTGGAGGTCACAGTGCTTCATACTCCTTAATTTCTGTGCTTTCCTGGTAAGTTGTGCTTTTTCTGTCATGGTAAATCATGATTTTTCCAGGTTGATCCCTAAGATTTTATTTCAATCTTTTTTTCTGAAACCTCACATCTTCATGGCAGAGATGCTATACCACACTTGTGTGCTGAGAGAAGACTTCCCTCCCCCACCCCCCCATAATTAGAGGATTAAATCTTCCAGATATCCTTTGAAGCTACTACTGAGAGAGCAAGGCTATTGTCAGAGTCACTTGGAGGTTCCTTAAAGACTCTTAGGAGCTTGTTTATACTTGGTGTGATGAGCAATATTCCTTATCCTTTCCTACCCGGGCTAGTTCCGATTATGCTGATAGTATTAGTGAAAAGCACTTCCAAGTCTGATGTCACTCTACAGCAAAAACCTGGACGTTTGTTGAGATACAAGCACTGGGACTTTGCAGAGTCATCCAGGAATGAAACTGCATTTAGTGGAGTAAAATGTACTGAGATTGCTGTTTGCATGGAGGACACTGATGCTTGTTTTCAGATCGCTGCAAAAGAGTAGCTCCAAGCAGAGCTCTGCACACACACCATGTGTGTGCAAAGTTACCTGAAGTTACAGGAGAGTTGCTTTTAAGTGGCTGGTTTTCTTTAATCTATATTGTCTGCATGACACTCTACTCATCTCTTCGTAGTTCTTCCAAAGTCCAGCAGCAAGTTGACAAGAACTGTGAGTTTGGGATATATACAAAACCTCTATACCTGTGAGCCTCCAAAGAGATGTGGGACTTGCCCTGCAGATATGGCCAAAGGGGAAAAAAAATCTTGGGGACATTGTGCATCTCAAGCAGTCAAGTGTGAAGGTGAAAATGGATAGTATATACTGAGCTGTAACTACTGATAAGTAGATGTCTTTTCTTAGACTTCCTGGCTAGTGGGAACCTTGAGAGTGTGACCTGAGTAATCTGAAAGAGATGGAGGGTTTCACTGCCTCAGGTAGTGTTGTGACTCATGGATACTTCCAAAAGGACAGAATATTGATAACAGGAACTGCAGGACATGTGGTGGTGAAATTTTATCTGCCTAAGTAGTTGCTAGTCCAATTCCATTAATGTTTGCATATTTAATAAACTTTTAATGTTGGATTTTAATGAGTTGGCAATTATCTCTGAACATCCAGCAGCAGCAGCAGAGTCTAGGTGCCTCTCACATGTGGATTTCTCTTACTTAGAAGTCATATGGCCTTTCCTTGGGCAGTCAGCACTTGACAGCCTATAGCATGCTTTGATTCAGTTTCTACTGATGTATATCAACAAGGAATTCTTAATTTGGATGAAGCCCTAGGGTTAAGTTTTCAGGGGAGGAATCTTTTTAAAAAGCCGGATATAAGAGAACATGACCTTGGTTAATCTTGTAACACACCATTTAGCTACTTGGGATGATTCTTGCTAGTGATCTAATTATTTTGGCTGCAAAATAAGCCTCCTAGGGAATTTCTTTCTAATGTGGCATTTGCTTATTTACAACCCCAGTGCTTTTGCCTTGCCTTTTCAGTCTTATTTTCCAAGCATGTATCAAACCCCTCAGAATGCCAAGCAGGCTAAGAAGTGTCCTGGTTGTGCTGCGCAATTGGAACCAAGTGTCTCTAATGAGGTTAAGGAAGCTAATCTGTTATCGAGGGGAGCTTGGCAAAATTCAGCAGAAAAGTTCAGTCAGTGTTCATGCTTTTGAGATAAACCTAAGTGTAGTAAATATATGTCAGTATGTAAAATGTAGCAGATCAGGTGAGAAGGGACTTTTGATAACGCAGTGTAATTCTCACTTCTGGCACTGGTATGACTTCAAATAAGTTACTTCCCCATTCCCAATCTTTAGGACAAATTCTCAATATGCTACTGTAATGTAGATTGTAAAAGTGTAAGCTGTGAGGGTTGCAGGGGTAAAGAAAGAAGCCCTTACTGCCTTCTTTGAGATAAGACAACTGGACCCATCAGATTGGTTTCGGGTGACCTTTCGCTGTGCCTGGTAAAAAGCAGGAAAAATGTAATGTTTATGTAACATAGTATCTTTATCTGAGAGAGCTGTCTTTTAAATTGAAGTTCTTTTTATATCTCCAGAATACCAGTTACTGAGAGGAGGAACAAAGAGAGTTAAGGACAAAAACCGATGGACCATTACATCTTTCAAAATGAGCCTGTTCACACTTTTCTGTGGGAAGCTAACATGTCTTGAAGGTGAGTAGGTTTTGTTTGTGACAGATGAGCTGCCCAACCTCTTGGGTCTTGACCATTGGTCTTCCCAAAGATAGATCTGTCCTTGTTTCAGTTTAGTGTGCAGCTGTCTTTCTGGGCTGGCACAGCCCATAGAAGCATGCTTTTGAAAATATGTATTTCATCACTGGGAGAAATATGTAGGAAGTAGGTAATATTTTCCACCATACCAACTAATCATCATTAATTTGGAAGCTCTTGAAAAAGCTAGAGTGCTTAGTGAAAGAGGTGAACCATTTTGTAATGTGGATATTTTTTAGTGAGTGGAGAAAATGCAGGTGTTTTATTTTCAGGATAAGAAAGTTAAGTTTGTAAGACAAACTTTTCTTCAGTTTGGTGAATGTATTAAGTTAGGTGAGGCATTTTTAAGTGCTGTTCCAGTCGTACCTCAAATGGTATTATCAGTGTTCAGAGTAGCTGAAGAAGAGTGCTTGCTATCAAAGATGGTAAATTAATTTCCCCAAAGTAAAGAACGTAATGCTTGAATGAAATTAAATCAAAATTATATTTTGTAGAGTTTGTGATATCTTTTATATTATTTTTGTACTTGGCCCTTTAGGGCTGTAGGCAGTGAACGTAGAGTATTGTTTTAAAATCCTTTAATAACAGAAATCAAAATGGGAAATGTCACATAAGACCTGCACTCATGTTTGAAATAAACACAGGATTTCTGAGACAAACAGTTAAGGTTTAAAATACCTTGGTTTAGACTTTAATGTCACTTTAAGAAATAACATAAAAAGGAAGCCATAAGCTTATATAAGCCTAAGTTTGCCTGTTTAGCAGCATTAATTCTGATTTTTAATTAGGCTAATACATTTGCTTTTCTGTTGATTACTTTATTGATAATTAATTTTTCTATTTTTTTTTTGGTGTGAGCAACCTAGCACCTGTGAAATCAAAGCTAATAGTGGAGTGTAAGTGGTGAAAAATAGGTCTAGGTAGTTGTCAATTTTCATTCTTCCTGCACAGAAATTGTTCTAAAATGTTCAGCATTGGAGTCACAGGCCTCTTGTGCATAAATGCTTTTTGGTATGGGGAAAAAGACCTGGTAGAAATCCAGCCTACACTGAACTCCTTTTTCCAATGTTTTTTGCAGATTTGAAGCTGTCTCATTATCCATCCGAGTTTCTTAAATATTTGTGTATTTGATAGTGTTGATAAGCCTCTCCTGAGTATAGTACTTAACAGAGGTAGGAGGGGATGCAGTGTCAGGGGGCCTTACTACTCGAGAAAGAAAAGACTTGTAGCTAGAGAGAGAAATACTGTTCATATTCATTTGTGCTATTTGGTCTCTGGTATAACCTGCACAATTCTGCATAAAAGGATGGAAACCTGAAACCCCCAAACCAAAAGGTGTTACCAAGTTCTAAAAGGTTCTCTTGTACTGACTAGTTGCCTGTGTTTTGCTCTTCAGAATCAATAGGGTGAGCTGTGAAATGTTTTGGGAACATGTACGAGTAAATTTATATACATTATAGCCATGAGACTGTATGGAAAATTAGACTGGGAGGAAAGTACTGGGTCCATGTTCCTGGATCACCAGCTTTGTTTCTGATTCATTTTTCATTAACTGTGTGCTGTCCTGGGTGTTCCTTATAGCTATGTGTGGGGAAAAGTAATATTGAAGTGATGAAAAGTACAAACTGAGGTCAACTGAATATCTTTTTTTGTGAGCTGGGACACCTGGATTTTGAGTTTCTGTTGTTATACGTGGAGACACTGAGAACTCCTGGAAGACTTTAAATAGGAACTTGCTATTGATGTTTCCCATATTCTACCTAATAACGTGGAAGCTATTCTAGTGCTAGAGAAAAGTAGGATGTGTTCCAAGAGCCATAAGTAAGTTGAGTGTTTTCCATGTATGTGGAAAAAATAACATTTACAGAAAAAATTAACATTTTTTCTGTACTGTGTTTATAGTCTGAGTATTCAAAACATGCTTGTAGATATTGGAGTGCCATAGTTTTTTCTACATTACATGTTCCTTCTGAATCAAGAGGCTGTGAATGATTATGTATTTGTATAATGATCTTCAGTTGCTTTTTTTGGGAAGAATGTTTTAACTGTGATCTATGAATTCTGCACAAATAACTATCTGTATATTAGTCTTCAATATTAAAAACTTCTTGTGATGTTTGAGTGATTGCAGAAGTCCGTCATTAAACTACATGCTGTTCATATGTGGATGAGGGATGTTTTGGAGGTAAAGATGGTATCTGTGAACCTTTTTGTTAAAAAAATCTGGAAGACTAGAATCTCACTGGGAAATATTTGTTCTGGTGTAGTCTGTACTGTTCTGTTGATGTGGATGAACAGATACACCTCTTCTTCCCTTTGCTCTCTCGTGTTTCTTCTGCTTTCACATTTTGTGAAAAGTGCAACTTTAATCTGTGGAGAGAGATTGTGCAACAGGGTAAAGAAAGACGGAGAATGAAAAGAGGATATTTTGCTGCTATAAGGTTTCTTTGTTCTCTGAGGTCAGGAAAAGCTGAGCTCCCAGTGATTTCATAAGCTCTTCTATTACCTGTTGACATACTGGTCAGTAAGCCTAAATGGATGGCTCCTCCTCTGTATGAATCATTAAGTAAATATCAGGCAGTGCTGGTATTCCTGATACTGTCTGCTCTGACTACTTCTATTTCTTGCTTGTTGTTGACTTGCTAATTTCTTAGTTGCTATCGCAACGCCAGCAGATTTTGTTAGCCCAGGGTCTTCTCACGGTGTGCAGTTGTAGAGAGACACCTCCACTGGAGCTAGTAGCTGTTCCTGCCTTGTTAGAGGAGATATTTTCAACGGTAGCTGGAAAATATTTGGAGATGTTTCCAGTAAAACAGTTGGTACTGATTCTTGGCTCAAAGCCTCCTCTTGATCAGAGGCAGCATCGTGGTTTGCCAGATGGCCTGCAAGCTGGATCTGGTGCCTGTGCTGATCGCATCCCTCCTGTAGGACAGGGCACTGGAGGAAGAGCATCTCTGGCCTCCCGTGGGAGCCCCAGAGCACACTGTGTTCAGAGCCACTGCTAGAGCAGGAGGTTTCAGCAGTTCATTCCTGCTTGACTGCCTTTGAGGACAGCTGGATGCTGCAGACAGGGCTTTGGGACGGGAGGTCTGTGAGCTGTGCTACTCTGGCAGCTGCTGCAGCCAAAGGGTGGCTGAGTAATGATGATAGATTGCCATCTCCTTGAAGAGAAGATTTGCAGCTTACGTGGAGGGACAGGGCATGTCAAGTGTTTGTGCTCCCTAACTCTACCAGGGAGAGAACAGGGCATGTTATCCACCAGCCCACCCATGTACCATTAACACTGGCTTCCAGTGTGCATGCATTCAGGTATTGGAGAACTGCTGGGTTTTGCTGAGGCTCTGGATTTGTGTCTCTTTCATGTGGATTAAACTGTAGCAGCCTTCTGTCCTAAGTGTAAGACCTTGGATAGGCATAGGGGTCCCTGCTAGCTTCTCTCCCTTGTCTGTCTGTCCCTGATATGTCATCACTTGTGGCCTTGTGGGATTTGAAAATGCCTCGGTGTTTCTGGATTAAATTCTTATCTCATTGGGAGAAAAATTTGCCACCAATTTAACCTCAATGTTGACTAAATATGGACAGTTTGAACCTTGGATGAAGACTCACAAACTAGATGATGCTGCCCAAACAGAACCAGTTTCCATCCTTACTTTCTCTAAAAGGAGACAGAATGTTACCAGTGCTAGATGGCTGAGACCATTTTGGGTGAGCTGTCTGGGCCACTGGAGATGAGAGCTGTGGAGAAATGCATAAACTTTTAGATACTCCTTTGCTTTTACTGATATGGTCTTCAGGGCATTGCTTATCCCCTTCTGCCAAGGGGAACTCTTCCAGCCGTCTCTAGATATGCTTAAAGAAGTCCAATTAATCATAGTGTTATCTCTTTTTTTCTGGAGATCTTGAGGATTTAATGTTTTAAGCTGAAAGCACAATAGATGCAACTCAGTTGTGGTACAAGTAGTGTAAGCCGCCTGAGACATGCCAAGTTTCCTAGAGGAAGATCCATCAGATTCATCCCCACATGGAATTTATAGCTGTTGTCAGTGTTACAGTGGTGGATTTGACAGCTTGGTTGCTAGATGTACGTCGGCTTTTTTGGATGTTTCATTTGCTGTGCTGGGAACCATTTGTTTTGCTTCAACTGGATGTGAAATGTTACCACTGGGGACTGATAGGTTTCACTTATTGGCAAAGGAGGCTGTACTATCAACATCAGCCTGAGGCTTCCTGTTCTTAGAGCTGTTCTATACAGCAACTGCACTGGAATTAACTTTCCATGAACAAAACTTCAGGAATTCCTGATCTGGGGCCTCACTGTGCCAGGAGGAGTCTGCAGCTCACTTTTGTTAGAGAATAAGTGTCTAGACTGAAAGCCACTGCGCACTTTTCTTCTATTAAGATCTGCTATTAAGAAAATAATTTTTGCTAAGCAGAGCACTTTAAGCTGTCATTTAGTTAAGGGAATAAACTAAAAACCTTTAATCACATTGGAGGAGAAAAGGAGGTATTGCTTCAGATTCCTGTGATTTTTTTTCTGGCTTCCAGAGTAAAACAATTCTATTTGTAGGATATATTTTTCCTACATTTAAAAATTGTGTGGATGTATTTAAAAAAATGTTTGATTACATTGTGATCATGTGTAATGGTTAGATACTGATTAGTATGAAAGAGGTGTAGCTTTCGGTTCATTGTAAATTTGCCAGGCAGCATTACTTCTCTGTATGTTGCCTTATCAAATAAGAAGACATTGTTTCTCAAGCACTTTGCACATGCGATCTTGAAACTGAATTATGTTTCTATTAAAATAATGTTTGCTCAGTGCTCCCAGGTAAAGGAGAACTTTAATATTACTGATAAGGTTCATGGTGAACTTTTACTTAGTTCATTTAGCACTTGGTCTCCATTCTGTGGTGCATGAGTGTTGCATTATCTGTTATTTTGAA